TCAAAACTAAATGGACTGTAGTCTTCTATCATTCCTCCTTGTTTTGTTGGACAGCAATGTGAACACTAGTTGCTGTAGTTAAAAGTCTACTCCAAGCTAAAGTTCTCTACTCATAAACTCCATGTAATGTGAGTGTGCTACTTGACATAGAGTTCCATGAACTCAACTGGAGAGTCTTCCCCACTATCCCATCGACACACTCTGGCCTCTATAGGGTCAGAGGTGGGGCTGGGGAGTGTCTTAGTGAAGTATGGAGGACTGTTGAATGAGCAACAGCTACTGCTGCTACCACAGCCTTCACCATCCCAGAGAGGATCATCTGGATGAAATCCACCGGTGGAACTTGAGTTGACTCCAGATTCACAGAAATAGTCTCCACCCACAAATGGTGGGACGGTAATGTTGATGCTAGCATCACAAGGACAGGCATCGATCCAAGTGGGTTGGGCCTCAGAAGCACCAGCTGCAAATGTCCAGATGTGTTGTCGTGGACTGCCATGTGTGAGACTGACACCAGCAACATAGGCTCCTTCTATTGTGGTCACATGTCCACGATGGTAGGCCTCAAATGCATCAATATGGCCATACTGGTAGGCTCTGATAGAGCCACACACACTAGTGTAGTCTCCTCCACTGACAGGGAGGAAGACTGAGTCACAGGAGAGACTGCTGGTGTTAACTCTACCACATGTTCTCTTGGAGTGACTAGTGAGCTGCCAGCCAGAGGGACAGTTGGTGTTGGGGTCTGTCATGTTCAGGTAGACCACACGTCTCCAACCTCCTGTACCTCCACATTCATATGTGTGTGCAAGTTCAAGTATATAGTCAGCAGTCTTCTTCAGTTCCTTTGTAACATTGGTCAGTACATTTCGCTCCAGTTCAGAGTGTGCAGTCGTCACTGTCATACTGAGACCATCTTGTTTGGAGTCCAGAGAGTCTAACTTGGAGTCAATGGTCTCCTGGTTGGTCTCCAGTCCTGCTAGCTCTGAGGTTGTCTGGCTGCTGTGTTCTTGAAGTTCAGTCTTCACTCCTGACAGTCCTTCACTCATACTAGTATTGACTGAGATCAGTAGAGACTTAACCATATTCAGGTTGGTTAGGTTTTCTTTAACTGCAGCCAGACCTTCTCTTAGTTCAGTCTTAACAGAAGCCAATTCTTGTTTCATTTCAGCAATCAATGGACTCAGAGTCTCATACACTGCTGCAGCTAGCCTCACAACTAGTGATGTACATAGAACCTCGGTAATCAGTCTATTTTACTTACGAATTTCTCACCATCACATTGGGAAGCTCCAGTCTGCAAGAGAGAGAAGGCAAATGCTGCCACCACGACCAACTGGAGACTCTTCATCCTTCCACTTTAGCAGTATTCTTTAGCTCGTCTTTACAACTGAAATAAAGACTGCACCTCTTTCCTTGGTTATACTGACATAAACAAACTCTGGAACCTATGTCAACATGGTTACACTTCAGCCTACCTAAACTATAACAGCCTTTTTTGTTACTAAAGACAACATCCCCTGCCCTTGTCTATCTGTAGTTGGCATTGTTTGTCACCAGGCTCTACAGTGTATACTTGGTTTGTGTGTCTGTCTGCACATACAGCAATAGTGCAGCTCAAAAATTATAATACCTATGGCTTTAGTACTACGGTGTTTATGCACATTATCGTATATCATGCTTTATTGGCGAGCGGGAGCGAGCCAACCTAGTCGTTCGTTCGAGCGGAATTTTGTATATATTATATATCGTCCGTCAACGTCGTATGTCGTGTAAGTGCACATGCGCGGCTTTGTACGCACTTTTTTTAATCCAAAATTATTTCCAAATGTTTACACATTTTCACACATGTTGCCTCGCGATATGCGCCGATCGATCTAGCCAGCGAGAGAACTCTCCTCCATTTGACGACATGCGCTGCAACCTTCGGTGACTGACCGAGGCTGTACCTCTTCCCAATCTTCATGGTTCGAAGGTGCAACTTGCAAATAAGCTACGATTGCTCGTGCTAACTCAACAGAAGTTTTAAAACTAAAAATGAAGCATGTGGTCGAAATGAATATGATGACATACTGTACTGTATAAAAGCAATCGTACTACTGGTTGTGGTTATAGCTTGTGTCTCAGTGTTAATGTGAGCACACTACTTGACAGCACACCAACCAAAACATTTCCTGCTTTGATTTCTTAGTAGCTACATGTTCATTACTTATACTAGAGGAATGCAATTCATTTTTGGAGAGTGAAGCATTTTTCGCATGTTTCACACATATTTAGGTCAGTCAGTACTCATGGCATCACACAATGTGGCATCTGGCTCCTTATCTTATGAGCCTGGGGATGAAGCTCCCAAGCACTGCGCAATAGAGTGAAGGGAAATAAAGTTATTAAAGAAAATCAACATGCATTCTCAAAACTAAATGGACTATAGTCTGCTATCATTCCTCCTTGTTTTGTTGGACAGCAATGTGAACACTAGTTGCTGTAGTTAAAAGTCTACTCCAAGCTAAAGTTCTCTACTCATAAACTCAATGTAATGTGAGTGTACTACTTGACATAGAGTTCCATGAACTCAACTGGAGAATCATCCCACTATCCAATCGACACAGTCTGGCCTCTATAGGGTCAGAGGTGGGGCTGGGGAGTGTCTTAGTGAAGTATGGAGGATTGTTGAATGAGCAACAGCTACTGCTGCTACCACAGCCTTCTCCATCCCAGAGAGGATCATCTGGATGAAATCCACCGGTGGAACCTGAGTTGACTCCTGATTCACAGAAATAGTCTCCACCCACAAATTGTGGGATTGTAATATTGATACTAGCATCACAAGGACAGGCATCATTCCGAGAGGGTGTGGCCTCAGACCAACCAGCAGCAAATGTCCAGATGTATTGTCGTGGACTGCCATGTGTGAGACTGATACCAGCAACATAGGCTTCTTCTATTGTGGTCACACGTCCCTCGTCATAGGCCTCAAATGCATCTGTTGACCATACTGGTAGGCTCTGATAGAGCCACACACACTAGTGTAGTCTCCTCCACTGACAGGGAACAAGACTGAGTCACAGGAGAGACCACTGGTGTTAACTCTACCACACGTTCTCTTGGAGTGACTAGTGAGCTGCCAGCCAGAGGGACAGTTGGTGTTGGGGTCTGTCATGTCCAGGTAGACCACACGTCTCCAACCTCCTGTACCTCCACACTCATATACATGCTCAAGTATATAGTCAGCAGTCTTCTTCAGTCCATTTGTAACATTGGTCAGTACATTTCGCTCAAGTTCAGAGTGTGCAGTCGTCACTGTCATACTGAGTTCAGCAGTCTTGTTCTTGTGTTCTTCAATATCTCCACTCAGAGAATGAACTTTAGTTTCAATTCTGCTAAGATCTTCCTTCATTTCAGTCTTAACAGCAGCAAGACTCTCCCTCATTTCAGTCATGAATGGACTCAGTGTCTCATGTACTGCTGCAGCTAGCCTCACAACTAGTGATGTACATAGAACCTCGGTAATCAAGCTATTTACTTACGAATTTCTCACCATCACATTGGGAAGCTCCAGTCTGCATGAGAGAGAAGGCAAATACTGCCACCACAACCAACTGGAGACTCTTCATCCTTCCACTTTAGCAGTATTCTTTAGCTCGTCTTTACAACTGAAATGAAGACTGCACCTCTTTCCTTGGTTATACTGCCATAAACAAACTCTGGAAGCTATGTCAGCATGGTTACACTTCAGCCTACCTGTATATTTTTTATTACTAAAGACAACATCCCCTGCCTCAGTCTATGGCACTATTTGTCACGATTCACCAGGCTCTACAGTGTATACTGGGTTTGTGTGTCTGTCTGCACATACAGCAATAGTGCAGCTCAAAAATTATAATACTTATGGCTTTAGTACTACGGTGGTAAAGGAAAGATCCATGTGTCCAGTGTTCTTGTTTCACACTGGGGAGCAAGGTGCAACTAGACGTTGAGTCTTTCTTTGCTCCAAATGTGTACTTACTGATAAACCTAGCATGTGGTTGACAGTTTGCTCCTCACTTCTCAGTTTTTGTTCTTACTTTTCGGTTTTGGTTTTCATTGTTGCATTTCACTTAATTAATTAATTTCCCTGCGACACGTGCCTTTTTATTTTATACATACATATACCTACCATGTACTTTTGACGTTGATGTTTCTGCCAAGAACAAACTCTGACAGCTTTCACAGCTATGCCACATTGCTTGTACTTCAGTCTCTCTGATATCAACAGAGACCATGTTTATGTCCCATTTCAAAGATTTTAGTGGCCTATGAGGAGATTTTTGATTAGCTCACCCTACTTCCCAAACAAGCATGGGCTAAAAGTGGAGCCGTTTAAACTACGTACACATCGTCCAGGGCACTACTTAGGGCTCCGATTGCCTAACCAAGGTAACACGTCTTATCTGCTTTGTCTACAGAATACTAGCTCGCAATCCTGTTCCAGTGCCAATAATAGTTACCGCCAATGAGGATAGGACAGTTACGTACCTCTAAACTCAGTCTTATGTATAAACCAGTTGAGTAGTTGAGTGCTACAATAACTACACAACTATACAGAGTTGTTCAATTCGTAGTTCTAGTGTCACTATTTGACATAGAGTTCCATGAACTCAACTGGAGAATCATCAGAAGTATCCAATCGACACAGTCTG